GCCTTTGCTTTTCAGCAATTTCATCCAACTTAGCTTTGCGTTCAGCATCTTCCTTTTTGCGTTTCTCAGCTTCTACACAAGAGTAAATCCAAATATATAAACAGAAAGAAGCGGGTTATATTTATTAGAAAAACTTCTAACATTAGGCGTAAACTGATGTGAAATTATGAAAACAGATCCCAACCTTTACGCTTGCGATCTTCCTCTTCTTCCCGCAGCTTGGTTATTCTTTCTTCTTCACATTTCAAATAGTATAACTGCTTCCTCTTAATCTCCCTTTCTTGCTTCCTAGCTTGAATTACTTGGCTTATACGCTCCTCTTTCTCAGCCCTTATTCTGTCAAATTCAGCTTGTCGACGACTAATCACTTGCTCTTGGAATATTTCCTGGACAGAATTAGATTCGATTTGAGTGAGTTCCATGGAAAGAATAATTACAGGAATAAATAAAGAGACAAGGACCACTAAAAAGAATTCAACATGTTAAGAGACTTCGAGATGACACATTCAGAGAAACAAATTGGCATGTCAAAACTGACCTTGTTATCCAACATTCTGGACAGCCTGTTCTTCTCCTTCAAGTCACTCTCATGACGCTCTTTACTGAGCTCAACCTCACGCTGCAAACGAGGAGATTTCAAGGATCTCATTTACTTGAACTCAGAACCAAGTTATCAGAGAAGAAAAACTTCTGTAACAGTAAGGTTTTTATACCTGTTGCTCGCGCTCATAAAATTCTCTCTCCTCTACCAGCCTTCGCTGATATGCAGCTTCAATCAAGGGAGCAGCCTCTTCTCTCTTTGCTCGTTCCAAGTAATCCATTGTTTTGGCAAGTTTTTGAAGCTTCTTCTCCATTTCTTGCCTTTCCTTGACCTGCTCAGTTAAGGCCATCTCCATCACATATTGCTTTGTCACCTTCTCCTACATTAAGTTTAAGCAAACCATTATTAGTAATACAAAAAACATACTGTACTACAAGCGCTAACATTTTGTACTAACAAACTTACTCCATCTAAAAGTAGCTTCTTTTTCCCTTTTTTCGTGAGTTTCTCCCTGCCCACCAGCAATGCCTGAGCTTCTTCAAGTTCCCTCTCCTCTATCTCCCTAAGGATTCTTTGTTTCCTTCTCTCCTCAAGTTCTGCCGCAAGTCTCTTTTGTTCTGCCTCCTCGTTAAGCTTCTGAAGCTTAAGCCGTTTCTGTTCCTCTTCACGTTCCTTCAAAAGCAAACAACAAACCAAGGAATTGCATTAACCAGCCCGAGGTTATCGGAGAAGTAAGAAGACCGCCATAGAGAAATACACTACCATTTCTAATTGCTGACGTTCCTGATCCTCCTTCCTCTTTTCAATGATTGATTTCCGAGCAAGCAGTCTTTTGTGTTCCTTCTCAACAGTTTCTGCTAAATTGGGTACGATGCCACCTAATTTTGATGCTTTACTTGGGACAGGATACAGCATAGCTCTTACTTTGCTCAAAGACTCGGCAAAAACAGCCAGATGATCCCTCAATCCATCAGACTCGATACCCTTATAGAAAAAGTCGATTAAATACCTTGGTTACTACCAAAGAGTCAATATATTAAAAGTTAAATTACTTAATGATAGAGTAGGATGCATGAACTAAAGCATCAACAGAGACTTACCAAATTTCCAAAAATTACAACACCCTTCATGTGATCAACTTTCATAGCAACGAAATTGTTTTTCACAGCATCAACTGATATCTTCTCCACCACTGAGAACTCGAAGAAGGGGACCAACTTAGATAAACTCTCGATTCTTATAGTCTGATAAATCTTTGACACCTGAAAAAAAAAATACATTGCAGAATTATGAGTACACAGTTAAAAATGGGATGAACCACCCGACCAATCCAAAAGTGGTTGAAGGGATGTTTCCCAACAAAGAAGAGAATGAATAAGTGAGAACTCTTTACCTGTTGAAGAAGCCTCAGAGTAGCAAGCTTCTCCAAAGAAGAAACATACTGAGAGAGCTGCACTTCTGGTAAAGAAGGGGCAGAACACAGTTTCCCGCCAGATTTGGAAATTCTTTCAAGCAAAGGCTGAATCTTGGAGCCAAGATCAAGTGGGTGAAATTCATGCTCCAAAACATGGAAAAGATCTTTGACTTCTTGAGATGCACAGCTCAAAACACCTCTTGAAACCTAATTGTATAGAAATCATACTCAATCAGATTCCTCTAAGGCGACATAAATTCTAAACAACAGGTAAGCAATATCAACTAGGTGAGGTAGCTAGAGACTCACAAGCTCAGACAGAAGAGCTGACCGAGAAAGCTGAAAAAGGAATGAATGGAATTAGATATAACAAACCAGGATAAAGGGCTCAATATAACTATGAAGTCAACATAAGAACCTATGTTACCATATCTCTGCCCTCAAATTTAGGTTCAAGATTGAATCCTATGAGGTTGGCCATCCTCAAATTGCGCTCTTTCTCATTTTCAAGTTCCATATGGGATGCACCATGGGCCCGATCAAACGGTGGAACAGATAATGCCGCCAAGACAACAGATGATGCTATGAGCTGCAAATCCTTTTGGCTCAAGTTCTTATTGAAATTCTTCTGCAGAGTAAACAGCTTGAACCATGCGTAAGCATGATAAAGATGGCTTGAAGAAATCCAGAAGATCTCTGTCAATTTGGAATAATAAACCATCAATAAAGATGACTTGGGCGTTTTTTTGACCATGCACATCAATCCATATATATCTTCAACAGAACGAAAAGCTTCCTGCAAAATAAAAACTACATCAAGAACCATTGTAACATATTTCCAGTAATGGAAGAGAGGTTAGGGTGTATGTTGCCAAACTAAATTTGACTTGGATAATGTAGCATCAGAAAAATACACGTAGAAACAAAACACACCTGCCAAAGTCCAAGCTCAGTAGCAACTTTCAACTGATCAAATCTTGTATCCAGGTAAAGTTGCAAGCTCTCAGGGGCAGACAAGTCAGGTCGGTCCCTTTGGTCTCTGTACTTGTTAAGGTTGGCCAGATGATTTCTAATAATTTCGCAAAGCCTACGGAACTCTGTTGTTCTTTTATACTGCTTACAGAACTGGAAGGCTTTATGTGCTGTCATCTACAAGATAATAATGTACAATAAATTAACATGTTATTCCTCAGCAACAGGTCTTCAATCTTAATCAACCAAAAAAATCAGAGGAGGCTAATAAGCTTATCCTAAACAAAAACTAACCGCATAAAGTGCTTCCAACTTTGAGTTGTTTCGCAATATCTCAAGCACTGTTCTGTATGTCTCCCACAGAAACTTGAACCATGGGGTGACCAACTCTCGGTCAGATCTATCTTTTCCCTTCTCCCCACTGACAATACTTAGCTGCAAATCTTCAGGCTTTCTGTCAGCTTCAAGGTCATCGACATCAAGGGCCTCCTCCAAGGCATCTGCCTGAGAACGAGCCTGCTCAGCTTTCTCGGTAGCAAGATGTAGGAAGTGCTTGATAACTTCCTCCAAGGAACTGACATTCACTTGCTGGCAAACAATACGGTACTGGATCAATCCATCCTTTGCGAACCGACCCCTCTTCAAGTCAACACAAAGATCTAGATACTTAAACATGATTTTTTCAAGTGGCTTCTGCCACGCTCTGTATCTTTTGGAGGTAATGAGATCATGAAGCGCCTGTAGAGCATCTTGTTTCTGTCCAACATTGATCAGTTCTGCACACACATGTAACACAATATCATTTCATACACCCTGAAAACCAATTCATGGAATCTAATAACTAAACCAAGAGCAATTCGTAACTTACCATCAGCACGCTTCAACGCATTCTCCGGTTTGGCAAAATTCGCCATGTTTCAGACGCAACACAAGACAAGCAAGCTCCCACGAAAATGACACTCAATTTGCCTGAAAACAAAAAACACGAAGATTAAACTGATTATACAATCAAATGATCCATTCTGATAACCTATCCGACTTAAAGACACCACCGGATTCAAGAAAACTCCATCAGGTCAAAAATCAGAGAAGCATCTCATGAAGAAATGAAGCTTAATGCGTATTCTAACTACAAACGACCAGAAAAACTCGTCCAAATCCTAAATTCTTCCCAGTAAACAACAACAGAAAACACAAAACGCGGCACCGAAGATTCGATTACTCTGACGCAAATCCGTAGCAGATGAGTCCGAAGCAGGTGAATTCGATGAAAATCCGGTAAGAAAAAGGGCAGAGATCGAAACACTTGTGAGGAAAGAGAACCGAATCTGATGACTAACCTTTGCCGCCGTGAATAAGAGAGATGGGGAAGCCGAGAGCAAGTGCCTAGGGTTTTCTGCTATTATCATCGTTCTAAATATATATATTATACCACATTTGCAAATAGCGCCGTAACTTTTATATTTTTACGAAACAACCCCGTTTTATGTTTTAGTGTATATAAAACCCAATTTATAATTCCTTGCGTCAAATGTTTCACAAACAGGTAAAAAAGTAAAACCCCCTTTGATGTTAACAAGCAGCGCATAAACCCCTTCTTCAATTTTCTCTCAACCAAAACAACAAATTTTCTCGCGACCGGATTTTCCCGAGAAAATGATGAATTTGGGATCCCAAGCTTCTGGTGGAGAACGTCTCGGTTTCTCAAGGTATAAAGCTAATTTGAGCTACAGATTTTAGTATTGGCAGTAGCAGGCAGTTTGTAATTTCATTCTTCGTCTGATTTGAGTACTTTGCATTTTTTCCTGGAGATAGCTTCAAACAAAGAATTTGCTAGAACATTTTGCAGCTTTTTGTTCTATTGTTTGGTATACATATGCTTTAGGAACATTGTGATGTTTATGAAATTTTCTAATTTCCCTCACATGAACAGATCTTTGTCGCAGCTAGGGCATTGGATTACTGGGATTTCTTCCAAATGTGGGTGCAATTGAATTGGCCAATCCAAAAAATCAGAACTCGAATTTGCAAAAATGCTTACTGGGTTCTGATTGTGATGAGGAAATTTTGAAAGTTGAATTGTGTAGATTGGTTTCTCTTTTGATTGATTCTACAGTGTTGTGAGATAACCAAATGGCGTCTTCGAAAGGCCCTGTTAAAAAGGGTCGTCAACCTTCGATTAAGCATAGCTGCAACTTCGCCGAGGCTAAGAGGAAGCTGTCAAAGATCAGTGATCATGAACATGTAGAGTATGCATATGATTGCCAGAGGCACAACAGCAAACGAGGAGATACCAAGTTGAGTCAGATCTTGAGCAGGGATGCACTGGTATCAGCAGTTGACTTGATGTGGGATCGTTCGGGTTTTGTGTCTGGTAATTTGATTAGTTCACTGAAGGAAGGGAATTTAGATGATTTACATAGAGACGAAGTCAGTAAGTTCAAAGTCTTAGCGGATAGTACACGGTTGCCTGCTGAACAAAAGGCTGAGTCTCAGTTGGCACCGACTTTACAGTCCAGGTTTAAATTACTGACAGTGGCCGAGAAGATATGCATTTTTGATCCATATAACCAAAACTATTACCAGTCTTTCTTTAGTTGGTTTACTCAAACTAATGGAGCCAATTCTATTAGTGGTTCTTGCAAAGAGAATGGTTTTCCATTCGAGGCTAGATGGGAGATAGAAAAATCGTATAGGTGGATGAGAGAAGTATTTCCCATTATTACTAGATATCATAAAGGAGGGGCTGAGATTGAGAATAGAGAAAAAATTGAAGACCGTATTCCCAATCCACGCAGCAGTAAATCAGAATGTGCATTAGGAAATGCCAATAGTTGTGATAGTGTCTTTGTCACAACTGGTTCAGAGGGTCACTCAACTTCAATTGAATCAAGGAGTCCTCTATTAGCAAGTCTCACAGTATCACCGGGAGACAGCAGAATATCCAGATCTACGGATGTAAACTTTCTCTTTTTGCTTTACAAAGACAGGTGTGCCAATAATAAAGGAGTGAACATAATAAGTTCAAAATGTAGCACGGACTGCCACTCTGAGGTTTCTTCTTCAGGGAATAACCCAGACGAAGACAGATTATCTAAGGTTGAAAATAGACAGTTGCTTGAGAGAGATAGAAAAGACCAAGAGGCTGAAGTTTGTTCTTCCTCTACAGAATCGCCTACTTATGCCTTTGCTAAACAACGGCATGCTTTTGCTGGTGCATTGGCAGGCATAAGTGTCAGTCTTTGTCTTCATCCACTTGATACAGTCAAGACAATGATTCAGTCATGCCACTTGGAGGAGAAGTCTCTATGTTATACTGGGAGATCAATCATATCTGAAAGAGGTAGAACCGTTTACTTGAGATGATCATAAAAGGGGGCTTTCTGTATTAGTTTTTCATAGTGCCTTGTTGCTTAACACAATTATATCCCAATATTTATTCAGGTATTTCTGGACTTTATAGGGGAATTGCTAGCAACATTGCGTCATCAGCTCCTATTTCTGCCCTTTATACCTTCACTTATGAATCAGTTAAAGGAGCTCTGCTTCCTCTTTTCCCGAAGGTCCTATTTACTTTTCAGTAGAACTATCTCTCATTACCTCCACGTTCTATTCTTCTTCTTTTTTCCCTGGCAGGTTTCTTACACTGGCCTGTGGGCAGAATAAGCAAGTACATATTACTAAATCTTCGAAATTTCAGGAATATTGCTCGCTTACCCACTGCATAGCTGGAGGTTCCGCAAGCGTTGCAACTTCTTTTATTTTCACGCCCAGTGAGCGTATAAAACAGCAGATGCAAGTCAGTTCACACTATCGCAATTGCTGGTAACACATTTGCAAGCTTAATCTAGCTTCTGCTGACTGCATATATACTTCCTTGTTCTCTTATCTCTAGCTTAAGAAACGATTCCTAGCTTAACGAAATTTATTCGCATTTCAAATGTCTTTTCCTCACCCTTTTCTCTAATTTCTTTTTGTTCTGAAAACATGGTTTCCTGATATTTTCGTCACATGTTATATAGGACCGCATTGGTCGGAATCATCCAGAAAGGTGGTCTACTTTCGTTATATGCTGGGTGGAGTGCAGTACTATGCAGAAATATTCCACACTCAATCATAAAGGTTCTTTTAGCCACACTATGTGTTCCTTTGCTCTAACTAGTAGCGGCCTATGATCTTTATTTCTACACTTTTCCGCTATTTTTCTTCTCTGGTCAAATACAGTACTGATGCCAAATTTATTGGAAATACAGTTCTATGTTTATGAAAACATGAAGCGGATGATATTACCATCCCTAGGTCCTTTTGGTCAAGCGGCTCAACCCACATCATTACAAACGGTTTGTATTATCTCTGCTTCCTTCCATAATATCCTGCTTTTTAAGATTCTCTTAGCAATCTGTATTCAATTTTCTTATGAATATGGAGGCCTGAGAGAACTTGGATGATATTTGCTTCGAACAGCTCATCTGTGGAGGACTAGCAGGATCTGCTGCTGCTTTCTTCACAACCCCATTTGATGTAGTAAAGACAAGATTACAAACTCAGGTTTGTTTTCTCAAACTTTTTCAGGAACCGTGCGCAGTTGTCGCCAACATCTATAACTTCTCCTTTGACTACAGATCCCTGGACTTAGGAACCAACATCCTAGTGTGTATAAAACTCTTCAATCAATAGGCAAACAGGAAGGTCTGAGAGGGCTATACAGGTCTGCTTTCGATGTCACTAATCTTATCTCCCAAGTCCTGGTGCTTCTATCATATCTTTTTTTTTTTGGATCACGGGTGCTTCTATCATATCTACGCTTCATCAATTTACCAGCATAGTCTTCTCTTCTTGTGTGTTGCAGAGGTTTGATCCCCAGACTGGTGATGTACATGTCCCAAGGAGCTATATTTTTTGCGTCGTATGAATTTTACAAGAGTATGCTCTCTCTAGAAGTGGCCCAACCATTGAAAGACAAGGATAGTTCACCCCCAGTGAAATCACCAAAACTGCAACATATGTAATTTAAAGAATGGAAAATCATACAATTTTTTCGTTTATGTAACTATTGTTTTGTTGAAACTCGTTTGTGCAAAGTTCTTTTTGAGTGGAGAGAGAAGAGGAAGATCCATTATTCACTACAAGTTACAAAACTTCTTTTGAAGGATCTACCAACTCTACTTATGAGACCTCTAACCAAATTGGGAACCTCCCAGTTACTACCTTACAATATGAACAGTGTGGCTTTTTCTTTTGCCTAGATCCTACTTGGAAGAATGAATAAATGACACAACAAAGAATGTGACGCCTTTCTCAGTCTGGAGATCAGAGATCATCCCATCTCGAAGCTCTAGGTTGTCCGGTGAATCTGCTGCTTCATGGCTGCACTTTGTCGGGAAGTTGAAGCCCACTGTTCTTGTCTTATCACCAACCCGGGACACAAAGAACTCAAATGTAGTTGCAATAACGACAGCATCACCAATTACACTCGGGAGATCGGTGAGAAAGGAGGGTTTGGCATGTAGGATTGAAGAGTGGTCGCAGCTTCTTTTACAAGCCTAGGGACTTTCTTTTCTTCTTCCTCTGTCACTGCTTCAACTAAGAACTGAATATCATCATCAATCAGCATTTTCAGAGAGTTGCAGTGTGAGAACTGTTGTACATTCTCGCCATTTCTGAAACTATTTGAGACTTCTGTGTTATGTAATATGGCGACACAGATTGAAAATGCTTGCAGGGTCGATAACTGCGCATGGAAGTGAACATCATATTGCCCCTCATCAACAAACGACATATACAATGCTGGTATATGCTCTTTAGCACCCTATAATATGAAGGCAAAATGTGTTAGATAAGAAGAGAAGAGTTCCTTAAAAGTCTTGAACAGTTGCTCATGCAAGTCCAAAGAAGCAGTTCCAAGACTACAAAACTTGTGTTTGATTGAGCAAAGATCCAAACTTTTACCTGGACAAATAGTTGCAAAGGATGCTGATTGTCTACAAGAGGCTGATCATGAGAACATGACATATGAGGATTTCCGATAACCATAAGTGGACAAGCCATGTCCCAACCACCACAGTCACAACCACCTCCTGACCTCCATCTCTGAATCAAAGGCGAAGGACAAGAGTTTTCGGTAGTTGGTAACCCATGGTTTCCCCTTGGGATTACAACCTTCAATTTTTCTGAACTTCTGCTGCCAAACAACTCCCTTTTCTCCTCTTCGATTGGAGAAAGACCGAGAAGATTTGTTTTCTCCATCAACCTTTTGTCACCTCTTCTGTATTTTAAGCTTTCTCTCTTCTCAATCGTGTCTTGAATGATTATCGCAGCGATTTCAAGATCAGGATGCAAATCTGCAGCTGACCATGGGTTTGTTCCATTTGAAGATTCAAGATCATAACTTTGAGATGTTCGTTTTGGCTGAGATCTCTGCTTCATTGTATCAGAGTCATCCCTGGTCATTGTGCTACTTCTTAAATCTGAGTCTGGTTTAGCAGAATTCTTGGAGGCAGTATTAACAATATCAAGTGGTAGTGATTGATATTCCTTAGTGGAGACACTTCTTCTTGCTTGAGCAATATCATACAAAACAAACTCATTTACCATCAAAGTCTCTGGATCTTGTCCCTTTTTTCTTACTTCTGAGCACATATTACAGGAAACTTGCATCTGACCCACCAGCAGAGATTCTTTATTAACATCGTTCAATCCCCGCACACTAGCGCTGCTCCTCTTTCTGCTTCCAGCTAATGAAAATGTATATACCCAACAAGAACCATTGTCAGATTTCCACGTCTTTGCTGCGTAAACATCCTCAGGAGAATCTGACACAAACTGAAAAACCGGCAATCCGTGCTTGCTTTCCATCTTTAGTCGGCAATGTAGATGAACTGGAGAAGATTTCAGAGCCAAAGTATAATCCTTTATCACAACTGGAGGAGGACAAAGGTTCGATATTTTATGAATATTTGAGTAGTCACTCAACATAGATTTGCAACGCTCATTGTTCTTCCCCGGTTTTTCTGTACATCCATCTTTGAACTGATCACCTGATTCTCCTAAATAACCAAGTGGACTCCTCAGAGACTTTGACTTAACAAATGGATCAAACATTTTTCTCACTCTTGAGCTTTCCTTATTGCAACTGGTTTCTGGTGCAGAGGCTGTAAGCTTTTCTACTTTTGCAGAATTTGGCTTTGGCAATCTAACTCTAGGTTCGTTATATTCGCTCGGTCCCCCGACTGCATCATCAACTGGATCCAACACCGCCGCTCTATCTTTAATACCTGATTTCAAACAAATGTCAATGAAGTTGCTAGAGGTGTTAGGTTCAACTGATGATTTCTGTCCATCTGAAGGCTTCTTATCCGGTCTTTTCTCTGTACTTCCCTTTCTCGAAGAATCAACAACTCTAAAGGAGAAAGAAGCATCACTACTACGGGACAACTCAAGTTTTGCCTTTGTATCTTTACGTCCCGGGTCTCTCATTTCTTTAAACAGTTCATTGGAGCTTTGATACACAGAACCTCGCCGTTGCTCCGTTTTATCCCCCATTGCAAGAGTTTTGGAAGAAAAATTCTTACAGGATGTGCTACGGTAGCGCCTAAAGCTTATCTCGGTGAACCCTTCTTTGACTCTCAATATCTCATCTCTACGAGGCGGCTTCAGCCTTGTGCTCCTTCTTTCAGATTCAGTGAAAGGACGCGGAGCAGGAAGAACACTATTGGGGCTTTG